CAAAATAGTTAGGTTTAATGTATGCTAGGAATATCTCATTGGTTAAGTGTCAATAAAATCTTTGTTTTTGTTCTCAATTACTGTTTATGCCATGCTTGAACCCGAAGTATAAGATGTGATGATAATTGAAATCCCTAGAGACCAATCTTGCTTCTGATATTTTATTTTCAACTAATTTGCTTAGAAAAAAAAAGGCATAATTTCATTGCTCACTATTGATTAAAGGTATCTACTTTTCTTTTGGCTGAGTGATACCTCTCTTAAAGATTTTATGAAAGCTAGCTGAGACTATATGTAATTCATAGTCTCAGGCTGCTCATTCTTACTAATCAAGAAATCTATAATCTAACAAACTAAATCACCAACTTTATCACTAACTTTTTAGAGTTAATAGGATACTCAAATATAACAGATCAGTTATATAATTAAGGATACACCATGTGTCAATATCTTTGCCTACGATTTTTTGACCTTGGTTGTAATTGACAGATACAATTTTTGTTGCTGATCTTGGCGAGAACCTTGGCTTTTGCATGGGTAATTTCTCTCTCTCTCTCTCTCTCTCTCTCTCTCTCTCTCTCTCTCTCTCTCTCTCTCTCTATACATATATATATATATATATATATATGAAAGTTTGAAATTTTCAAAAGTAATTAGCTTAGAAGTTGCTGCTTTTAATGTGTTGTTACTTCGGTTTTTCTTACATTTTATTTAGAGCATGTATGTGTGTGTATATATATATATATTAATCAGAATGTATATATAAGTCATGTGCTTTGAAACCATAATCACAAACAGAATCTGTATGTTTTTATTTTTTGCTCTTTTGATTATTCCTTGATTTCATTTTTTCGGTTGCGTTTGTTATAGGTGTTGTCTTAACTGCGTTTTCGACTGTTTGATAGCTCTTCCCATTGTTGTTAGGCAACAGGTCAGTTTTCTATTCGTCTTCTGAAGAAGTCATGCATATCAACTGTAGAAAATTGGTTTTTGGATATTGTTTCATTTGAAAATTGTTATTTCTGTGGTTATGATGTTCTTGCGTATATCTGGTTTGCTTGGTTAGGCTGCAGAAATTGTGTTTAATTTGTTTTCAGATGTTGTGTTGTTTGAAAAATCTTATTTTTATAGCTGTAGTACTGTTGGTGTGTGTCCATTTTGCTTGATTAGGCTATAGATGTAATAAAAATATTATAAGTTAACTCATGCATTTTTTTTTTCCCTTCCCAGCTATCGATCTGTTGGTTGGAATTTGTAATTTTTGGATATCATGTCTAAAAGGATTGCAAAAACCAGAAAAAGGCTGAGAACACAGGAAACCCATATTTCTACCACTTCGAGTGGTGCACAACTCTGTCATGAAAATGTTTGTTGCACTAATACTAAGCATAAGCATCAAGCCAAAAAAATTTCTGGAACCAGAGTTTCCAATAGAGCTTTCATAGTGCAGCAAGCTAGCACAAGTCAAACAACCAGAGAAGAGATTTCATTTGACATTTCTGATCAGATGAATAGGGGTCAAGCATTTTATCAGAGGAAGAGGCAAAGTGCGTTTTTCCCTCTGTTAAATATTTATTTTAAACCCTATCTTTATATTACTCATGGCATACATTTGTCTTATTTTTTTCTCTTTTTGCCCTGTTCTATGTTTCCTTTCTTTGTAGGAATGATGGAACAGTATGTGGATTTGGGAGATAAAAATTATAAGTGCATTTATTGTGGTGCACTTTTTTGGTTCAAAGAATCTGTTAAAAAAGCAAATGCAGCCAATGAGCCTCTTTTTACTCTTTGTTGTCAACAAGGAAAGATCAAACTTCCGATTTCAAAGCCAACACCTCCTTTTTTAGAAAATTTACTTGATCCGAGTAAAGGCCCAAAAAGTTTGCTGTTTAGAGAGAATATCAGGGCCTATAATTCTATGTTTGCATTTACTTCAATGGGAGCCAAAGTTGATCACTCAATTAACAGTGGACCAGGTCCTTACATTTTTAAAATTAGTGGTCAAGTTCATCATTTAATGGGTTCTTTGTTACCCCTTGAAGGTGAATGTCCAAAATTTGCTCAGCTTTACATATATGACACCCATAATGAAACAATGAATCGCCTTAATGCTGTTAATTGTAAAGAAAGGAATGAAAAGCTTGATGAAGACATTGTTCAAGGTTTGATTAAGATGTTTGATGAATCAAATGAATTGGTAAAACTTTTTCGAACAGTCAGGGATAAATTCGAAAGGGGTTGTCTAACTTCTTTAAAACTGAGATTGTTGGGCCGACAAGCAGATGATAGTAAACAATATGAACAACCGACATGTGATGAAATTGGTGGTTTGGTTGTGGGAGATATAGGCCTTTTTTATTCGAATAGAGATATTGTTATAGAGTTGAAAGCTGGAGAGTTGACACGAATCACAAAATTAAATCCAAAGTTCATGTCTTTGCAAT